CAGCCAGTTCTTCCTGACCCGGCGGGAGCAGACGCAGAAGTCCAAGTCGGCCTTTTCGGAGAGCCTGTCCGACTGAGCGGGCGCCTGGGCCGCGGGGCGCCCGAGCCCGGGGGCTCCTGCCCGTCGCTCTGCCACCTCACCGAGCCAGGAGCTGCTCTGGGCATCAGGATTTAATCAGAGACCGGTTCTGTGAAAGTTGCCGCCGGATGAGAGCCCCCTTGGAGATGCGGGCGCGCTCCTCTGCGCGGTGGCGTGCTGTTGCTGTCCCCGTCCGCCAGGAACGATCTTCACACTGAGACCGTGGGGCTGGGGCTGCGCGCGTTGTGCACGAAGGATTTGGTGGTGGGAAAGTATCCGCAGGGCTGCAGATGCTCACCTCAGGGGGATGCTTCCAACACTAACGTGAATCTTAAATGTGGGTGAAGCGAGCCTGCAACCACTGCCTTAAACGGTACTGCACAGGCGTCCGTTGCTCGCAACTAACCCTCCTCGGGAGACGCGAATGAGCCTTGTAGTTCCCAGCAGACTGTGCAGCGCGACTTGAGGAGGAGCAACAGGACTGCACCAGCACACATATCCTTAGTGAGAAGAGCTTGTTGGGCATGGCGAACTTCCCACGCAGTATGATTATCAGAAAATATTTTGAGGTTTCCATAGGGTAAAGTCATTCCTGTGGCCAAGTGACAAATTTTTCAAACTGCAGTGCAACTCTGTTAATACTGATTTGCTCCATTAACAGCTTTCTCCTGGTCAATGTAATAAATATTAATTGGGTCAATTTTTAACATGAGATTCTCCTTTGTTCAGGTAGGTGGCCCCTGGGAATTGAAAAATCTGACCTTCCGTCACTCCCCCTCCTTCCCAACGATCCTGTTATTGCAAAATGAGTAGCAGAGAGAGTAATTGCGTTCTGGCTAAAAGGTCTGCTGTGAATTCAGAGTTCTTGCTCACTGAATTCGGTCTCATGAACCTAACCTCACCTTTGGGAGAGAGGCTGTGGCCTTAACTTTCTTCCCCAATGAGTTAACAGTACATGCTTTCCTGTAAAAGAAGTTTGTTCAGAAAGACTCTAAATGCAGGAAAAAAGAAACCAGCTACTTTATACCCACCTCTACTCTCTCCAGATCTCTGGAGAGAGGACAATGTCTGCGTTTTCTGGACCTTTGCCCCTAGGAATGGGACTGGAACTTCTAACCTATGCAAGCCACTGGAAAAACAACAGATTGCTACTTATGTACCCTCTGGAAACCCAGCATAGCGTTTCAGCAGTGTTTGTGTCGCAGCCTGGCTCTGTGAGGCACAGTGACCCGTGTTACTAACGGACAGCACCTCAGAGCTCTACACAGGAAACTGGTAAATCGGGTCAGACCAAGCTGAGTCGCTTTGGGTGCCTGGTCTCTATGCAGCTTCCCAGGAGAGGTGGTCACAGCTGCTACCTCTCTGGAAGGTGCAGTGATTACTGTGGTGCTTGCCAGCTCACCTCAAAGCACTGTATTTCAAGACATTTAGACAGGGTAGTCCTTGCCTGGGTTCACCCAACTGCATGTACCATCCACAAGGTCCTGAACAGCCCAAGGAGACAAGTCTGCCCATCCAGTTCTTACAGCCAGTTCTGCTTGGGAGCAGGATGGTGGGAGATGACTAACACAGGTGTCTTGTAGCCAGCAGCCTTCCTGGGGATAAATTCAGGATGTGTTAAATAGAGCTGTGCTTCATCTTAAAAGCGGATATACAAACGCCTGTAAGTGAGGATACCGCTGTCGAGTCATCTTTCAGAAACTAACCTCAACAGCTTTTAGGTCACTCCTGTTCCCACAGTAAGCGATTCCCCCGCCCTCTCCCTATCTTGAGTTTCTCACAAGTGGCCACACTGTTCTGCCTACCCCCATAATCCTTTGTACCTCTCAGTGCTGGCCCAGCTCTCAATACAAATGTGTCACTAGCCACTTGGTAACTGAACAAATCTGTTTTAATAGAATACTGTAAGCAGGTGCCTCATCTACCTGCACAACAGACAAGTAAGTTGCATGAAGAGGTGGCTTCCTCTGGAAGAGCCACAGCAGCATGTGGCAGCACCAGTTTTCCAGTTTTGGCTGTGTTCTGTTCTTGGCTGTGAATCTGTAAATAAACTCTAGCAAAGTGAGCAGAACAAGTACTTTTCAGAGGAATTTTTGAACTAATGCTCTGGGTCATCCTGAAGACCAAGGTACCCCTCTTCTCTCCCTGTAATCTTAGCACCATGTTAGATTTTGTAACCGTTACTCTAACTATTTAAAAAAATGCTTTGATGCCTCCCAAAACGCATAGTCTTTACATTCAGTAATGGTTAGCACTGTGTTAGTGCTGCAGCCCTCTGCACAGCCAGAGCCTGTGTCCTGACAAGGGCAGATTGATTATTCATGTAAAGGAACAGCGAAGAGGAACTAGACCTCACCAGCCGTGCTGTTTGCTGGGCTCGTGTCTGTAGCTGCAGGAAGCTGCTGTCGGCCTCTTGGCAGTGGGAGGTCACGGATCACGCGCACAAGGCAGGTAGAGGAGAACTGCTAACTCCCACTAGCACAGCAGTAGCTAGCAGCATCTGGTGCAGCAAGTTGAAACTTGCACAGTGGAGCTGCTCAGTGGCGGGAGCAGAAAGCCAGCAGTTCAGGGACTTCCTCACACATCTTCCCCTTCCTCCTCCTCTTCCTCCTCTGCACTCTGAGAGCCTTTGTCTTCCGAGGGCAGAAGAGGCCGGTGTTGACATGACTGATGCCTGTCTGCACTCCTCCATGATGTGCGCAAGTCTGCCCTGCTTTGCTGCAAGAAGAGGGGCAGGAGGTCGGGTGTGAAGGGCATGTCTCGGAAGGCGTGCAGGAGGAAGATGCCACACACTATGGTGAGGAAGCCGCTGATGGTGCCGATGATGTTGTCTAGCACCATGTGTTGCCACTCCTTGAAGAGGATGGCAGAACACGTCATGACTGCTGTGGTGAACAGCACGTAGTAAACGGGTGTGACCACAGACGTGTTGAAGATGTCCAAAGCTTTGTTCAGATAGTTGATCTGGACACTGATGCAGATCACGAGGCAAACCAGGAGCACCCAGCCCAGTGGTTCTTTCAGGACTGGCTTCCCAGCAAACAGTTCTTTCAGGGCAATCCCCAAGCCTTTGACACAGGACACTGAAAGGGAGCCGATGGCGGAGCAGACCAAAACATAAACCAGGACGTTGCTCCGTCCATAACGGGGTCCAGCCACAAAGATAAGGAGAAGGGAGCTCACCAGCACACACACAGCAAATACAATGAATCCTTGGAGAAAGAAGAATTAAGAGCTATATCAGAGTGGCAAACAGTAGCTGATGTAACTGAACAGCAAGTAGAGAGGGAGGACAGGCAGGACTGGTAATTGCCCCATCAGTCACTCTTTGAATCCTCCATCCTTAGGGCCTTGTTTGGAAGCAGAGATGGTCTCCAGCCCAAGCAAAGCTGCAGAGTCAACAGCAATTCTTTACAGTGCTGATGGCAGCACCGTGCTGCGAGCTGGCCTGTCTGGGAGATACAGCTGTCTGCACTGGAAGGGGCAGTGGCACAACCAGGGCCTAAGGCACTGGGGCGGGGGGCAGGTGGTGTAGGCCAGGAGGCACAATTGGGGCACAGCTCTGCAGGAGGGGCAGTAGAAAGCTTGATAAGGGCTAGCAGAACTGCACAGGTTGGGGTAGAAATTAGGAAGGAAAAGCTCCACTTCACAGAAGTGAGACCCCACCAGAGCATTCTCTCTGAAGAAGAACAGCACTCACCTGTTACTCTGCTTTGCTCTTCTCCCTTTTACTCCTTTCCTCATCTCCTGTTGCTTACTCTGCCGCTAATGCTGTTGCCCAAATCACATCCTTGCAATCTGATTCATCCTCTGATATAAATATCAGGGATGACCTGATCTCGGGCTGAACTCCCTGCATCTCATTCATCTTCACCTTACATTCCTTCTCTGACCTCCCTCAGCCCTACCGCTGCCACCCTCAGGTACTGACAATTCCCTTTCCTATCCCAGCACCGCCTTAGGCCAATCCTGCCTGTTGACAGGTAACTCTGATGTTCTTCTCTCTTCCTGTCTGCACCTCATGCATGGACAGCAGAAAAAACACATCTGATAACTGTTAGTGACCCTTATTCTCCTCCTTGCTTCAAAACAGACCCAGTGACTTGGGAGCATCACCCAGACTCCCTGTCTGTAAAGTGGGGCTCCCCTCTGCTTCTTTTGTCTGGAGTCAAGAGGACTCTACAGTCCTAAAAAGGCATTCTGAAGCCGAGATGTCCCCCTTTTGTTTTGAGTTAACGACTAAGGTGTAAATCCTCTGAGTGCTTGCATTAAATGCTAAGTTTGATCATCACCAATGTTTCACACTTAGGAGGTGGAGACCCAAGGAGGCCTCCTCCGAAACAGAAAGCAATCAGCCGGCTACCCCAGACGTCCCCAGAAGGGGGACGTTCCCTCCACTGTGGTGCAGAACAGCACAGATGGCTCATTTGCCCTTCAGTTCAGTCCTTCTCAGCCTACCCAGGTTGTACCCTGCCTTCCACTGTCATTTCCAGGTCTGAAGCTAGGACCCATTTTACTTAAGTACCTGGATCTTTCAGCTTCTCTGCCATTGACTCCAGGCTGGAAACCTCTTCTTCCTGGGGGGCATGGATTACCATCACCGTGGAGCCCAGAATACTTAGGATGCAGCCAATCTTCCCGTGAACATTCAGCTGCTCATTCAGGAAGGCGGAGGACAACACTGCACTGAAAGATAAAAAGCAAAAATAAAAAGTCCCCAGAAGCCAATTAGGCCAAGGGATGGAGTATCTGAGGGAGCGGATAGGGGAGAGCAAAGCAACTGCTTTCACCATTAAGGGGCAGCAGGCAAGATACCGAGGTTTCCAAGGTTTCTTACCTAACAAGAACACTTAGTGCACCCAGTGGAGTTACCAGCGTGGCAGGGGCAAAAGCATAGGCAGCAAAATTTGCTGCTTCTCCAACTCCCACTGCAAGAGAAACTCTGTTAGTCCCAGGAGAGCATCAGAGTAGAAGCAATTCAGCATAAGACACGTTTGAGTGCAGTCAAAAGAGAGCCTTGGTTTCCATCCAAGTGCACTGTTTCTCTAAGGTATTTTGTTCAACCTCGAAAGGACAGTACTAACAAGAATAAGTAAAACTCTGATGTCAATCCTCTTGGAAAGAGGAGGCTCTTGGTTACACAGGGCTCTTGGTTACATGTCTATCCAGCTAAGCAGCAACAACAGAAAAATATTTCCACATTGTCCTCAAAGCTGAAAGAAGTTTTGCGCTTTACATATTTCTAAATCATGCTCCTCTCCTAGACAGCTCCCTGTAAGGATACAATCGAGTACAACCACTCATTAACTTCATATTTGAGAAATGTAAATACGAGCTGCTGAAATCCCTGTAGCTATAAACCCGCGGTGCTGAACGTGACATCATCTAACTGTTCCTGCTTGGGCAGGCCATTTCAGAAGCGCTTAACCCAACCCGATCAGCCCAGTTCCTCAAGTCCTATTCACAGGGGGGGGGCCTGGCAACACATGAGGCTTTAGAGTATTTTATAATTAGTTCAGCAACACTCTGAGCATGCTTAGAGATAAAAATCAAGTGGTTAAACTCTGATCGAGATAATAAAACATGAAAGCAAGTGGAAACAACGACACGCTCAGCATTTCTCACTCTTGCAGCCGTTCCACAGGAGCTACTTACTGCACAGCAGCCCGGCCCACCACAGCC